GAGTGCCCCGCGGCACGGCCTCGCGAGCGGAGCGTCCCGCGACCCCTGCGCGACTCGGCGACTCCGGCTGCCCCGGCCACCATGCCGCGCTCGTTCCTCGTCAGGAAGCCCTCCGACCCCCGCCGGAAACCCAACTATAGCGAGCTGCAGGACTCTAACCTAGGTGCGTGAGGGGGTCCCGGGCGCCGGGGAGGGGCTGAGGTGAGTCGGGCCGGGGCCGCGCGGGGGGCGCCCGAGGGAGGGGGCCGGGCCGGAACCCAGCCCAGGGCGACAGCTGGGGCGAGGGCCCGGGAGGCGGGGGCTCGGTGGGCCAGAGCCCCGACCGGGGCGGCGGTCTGGGCGGAGGGGGCCTCTGGCCGGCGAGAGGCGGAGGAGCCCCCGAGTGGGGAATGCGGGAGGCCGAGCCTGGAGAGCCTGCCGGCCCGGGCTGGGACGGGTCGGAGTCCAGAGGGCTGGGGGAGGGGTCGGGAGGGGAGATGTGTGAGGAGGGGGATCGGCGGCCTGGCGGCTCAGGAACCGGCCCTGGAGGCTGGAGGTGCCGGCGTCCTGGTTCGGGCTCAGGGACTCGGGGCTCCGGGAACGACCCCCTTGAGCTGGGACTGGGAAGCGAGGGTCCTTCCTGTAGAGACTCGGTGATCTGGTGAGAGGGCGGCGCGGAGCAGGAATCTGGTCTGCCCCATTCATATGTTATTCATCTACTAAGTACTGAGAACCAGCATGTTTGTTGACCGACTGAATGATCTAATTAGCGCCTGACCCTGCTCTTCCTCCCTCTCCCCGCAGAGTTTACCTTCCAGCAGCCCTATGACCAGGCCCACCTGCTGGCCGCCATCCCGCCTCCCGAGATCCTCAACCCCACAGCCTCGCTGCCCACCCTCATCTGGGACTCGCTCCTGGCGCCCCAAGCCCAGCCAATCGCCTGGGCCGCCCTTCGGCCCCAGGAGAGCACCAAGGTGGCAGAGCTGACCTCCCTGTCGGATGAGGACAGCGGGAAAGGCTCCCAGCCCCCCAGCCCGCCCTCTCCGGCACCCTCGTCCTTCTCCTCCACTTCAGCCTCTTCCCTGGAGGCTGAGGCCTACGCTGCCTTCCCGGGCCTGGGCCAGGTGCCCCCGCGGCTGGCCCGGCTCTCCGAGGCCAAGGACCCCCAGTCTCGAAAGGCCTTCAACTGCAAGTACTGCGACAAGGAGTACCTCAGTCTGGGCGCCCTCAAGATGCACATCAGGAGCCACACGCTGCCCTGCGTGTGTGCCACCTGTGGGAAGGCCTTCTCCCGGCCCTGGCTCCTGCAGGGCCATGTGCGGACCCACACCGGTGAGTCCTGGCCCGCGTTCCGGGCCTGCTGCTTGGGTCTGGCCCCGTGGACGCCAAGGCCCGAGTTCCGCTTCTAGCTCTCAGTTTCGGGGCCTGGCTCTCGCCGCCCGGTCCCTGGCCACCGAGCGGATGGGCGAGCTGGTGCCGCCTGGGTCCCTCGCAGGCCGCGTCTCAGCCAGATGGGTTGGAGCTGGGGTGGAAAGGGGTTCCTGACACCTTGCTGCGAGGGCCAGGTGTGAGCCTCCCCAGCCAGCAGGATGTTGTCAGGCCCCCCACCTGGCGCTGACGCCTGCTTGGAGAACTTCCTCAAGGTCTGGGCCGACGTGTTCACTCCCTGCCCTCAGTTCCTCCATCTTTAAGGTGGGCCTGAGGACACCGTGAGGGTTTCTGTACAGGCTGTGAAGGAATGCCATGGAAGGCACCTGGCGGAGGGTTGGTACTCGCTGAGCTCCCAAGAGTGGGAGTTGGTATTTGCTTCCATGCTGCGTGGCTCCGGGCAAGCAGTTTAACTCCTCGAAGCCCTGGGACGGCTGTGGTACCACATGTCCTAGAGGGAGGCTGTGAAGGGTGTTAATCACTTCCTTGTGGCTCTTGGATCCATCCTCCCCGCCCCGCTCAGCCCTATCATGCAGGTCGGGGAACAGCATCAAGTCCCTGTGCACCAAAAACAAATGCTCCACGTGTAGGAAGCATTCTGGAAAGGGAGGAGGTGGCCGGCCCGTCTTTTTAGAACTTGTGTGGTGGAGGCCGCCATGTTTGGGGCTGCTCTTTGGAGGGCGGAAGGTGACAGCTGAGGGAGAAGGTTGGAGGGGCCTGCCTGGTGGCCTTGGGCTCAAACCGGCCTCAGGCTGAGTCCTGCCAACTCCTGGCCTGGGACTGCCCTGAGACGAGGTCCCTGAGGTGGTGGGAGGCCTACAGGTCCTTGGGCTTAGCCTCCACGGAGCGTGCCCATTTCTTACCCGGCACAAGCAGCCCTGCTTTACCATGTGAAGCCCACTTGCTGGCAGGGCTCGGCCTGGGGAGAGTGGGAACCTCAGGGTGTCTCCTGGGCCCCAGCCTCGCCTGCGTCCGGACTTTCTTTGAATGTGAAGGCACAGAACCTTTGAAAGGTCCTCTCTGTCTCCCTTGGCTCCATTGTGCGCCTTCAGGTTGGGACCGCCGGGCGGGGGCCCGGCGGGAAGAGCAGGTGCCTGGGGCAGCGGTGCCCAGCACCTGTTTCAGCCGCAGCTGCCAGCCCGTGGTAATCCAGGGGTATCGCATGTACAGTGCGCCCCTCGCGGCCTTTGTCTCCCCCACCCACCCCGCCTGGTGCCGATTTCACACTTGCCAGGAGCACCATGAAGGCATCTGGGGGCGGGGGTCTGAGGAGCGAGTGCGTGTGACACAGCCCCCCTCACCTCCTGCGAGGTCTCCTTTGTTCAGGCCTGTGTCTAGTCACACTCTCGGGGAGGTGGTGCTCCAGGTGTCCCTGTGGCTCTTGGGGGCCGTCATACCCCGTCTCATGGATCTGTGGTCAGCCCTTCGCCCAAGGGAGGGTGCAAGGGAAGAGCCCAGCTTCCTCACTCGCGCGAGGAGGGCCTTGGGGGAGCGCAGTCACCAACCTTTCAGGCCTGGCATGCAGAGGGTGCTCAATAACGGCACCTCCTCGGTCTCCGCAGGCCCCTTCCCTGCCGCGTGGCCCGTCTCCTTGTGTGTCTGCCCACGAGACTGCACCCAGCTCTGGTGCTCCATGAATGCCTGTCAAGCCTCTAGCACCCCAGCGTCCCCGGCACCCAGTAGGTGACGGGACTAGTTCAGCCCCAGCTCTTGAATCCTAGCACTGGATTTGGCAGGTGGGCCAAGGACCTGGGGCATCACAGGCTGGGGCCGGAGGGGAGGGGAGCTGTATTTTTGAAAAAGGATATTCAGCCAGGCAGGATTATTCACGCCTGTAATTCCATTACTTTGGGAAGCTGAGGTGGGAGGATTACTTGAGGCCAGGAAGGCTGCAGTAAGTCCTAATTGTGACAGAGTGAGATCCTGACCCTCCCCACCAAAAGAAAAAAAAAAAAGGAGAATATTATAGACTTGTGTCTGGCACATCGTAGGAGCTCAGTGGATTTTTGTTTAATGAGTTACTATTATCATTTTTTATTTGGAAAATGGCTGTACCCCAAGAAAAGACAATCCATTATTGGTGTTTTTGGAGCTAGATCCTTTTGGTGGGAGCAGGGCTTGTTAAAGAGGTGTGAGTGAAGGGTCAGGCTCCTGAGACCTTTTTTATAAAGCAAAACTCTTCTACAAGCGTTTATTTGGAGCACTTGTGTACCCAGCCCCATGTGCAAGATACATCCTAACATAGCCATTGCCAGGCCAATGGTGTATCAGGGTCATGGATTTTGATTGCCTTTTGTGGGTGGGGTCCCAGGCCTCAGGCCAAGGCTTAGAATGGACTCTAGGGAGGCCCCTGCCTTTACGGGGCTGAATCTGGCTGGAGAACAGGCGAGGAGACTGGGGTTTCCATGGCAGGGAGAGGCTGCTGCTGCCTGAGCAGCCCACGGTGGGGGCTGGCGGGACAATCGGTTCTGCCGCCACAACCTCCCCTGGCTGAGAGGCAGAGTGGGTCCTGCCGGGCCGCCCCAATGCATGCTCTGATCCTCAGTCCCTGCGGCCCTAGGTGAGGTCCCCGGCGGGATGAGGCACGCGGATGCTCACCCACCTCTAGTGGCTCTGCCCATGTCCCTGCCCGACGTGCAGAAGGGCCCGTCCTGCCCTCTGTTTCCAAGCTCTGTGAGTGGGATTGAGCAGCCCCATTGTACAGGTGTGAAAACGGAGGCTCACAAAAGCCAGATACCTGGCCCAAGGTCACACTGCGGGAAGCCCACTGTGCACGAGGCCTGGCCAGGGGTCACTGTGTTCTTTCAGGGCTGAGTTGTGGGGAGGGGTTCCCATCCTGGTGGCTGGTCCCCAGCTCACTCGCCCCTTTGGCTTCCCCCCAGGTGAGAAGCCCTTCTCCTGCCCCCACTGCAGCCGCGCCTTCGCCGACCGCTCCAACCTGCGCGCCCACCTGCAGACCCACTCGGATGTCAAGAAGTACCAGTGCCCGGCCTGCTCGCGGACCTTCTCCCGCATGTCCCTGCTGCACAAGCACCAGGAGTCGGGCTGCTCTGGGGGCCCCCGCTGACCCGGAGGCGCCTCCCCTGCCCGTGCCTCCAGAGGCGGGGCAAACTCCAGCTTCACCAGCCCCACAGGACTGGGAAGGCTGTTTCCTGGCTCTGGCTCTGCCCTGCCCGGTGCCTCCATGGGTCCTGAGGGAGGCCGATAGGAGGGGGCAGTGTGTGACGGAGACCCCCGGCGGCCGCTGCAGGACCACCCCTGAGCCAGCCTCTGTGTGGCCTTGCGAGTCCAGGGCTGTCTGGAGACGGCTGCTTTGAGGACAGAAGCCACAGACTGACTGGGACACTCCCACCCTGCTCCTCCCCCCCACCCTCAGGCCACCCTCCACGAGCTGGGACTGACTATGCAGCCCCAGGTGTTTCTGTGGGACGTGCAGGCTGGTGGTGGACACAGGGCTGTGTGTGCAGCCTGGGCCTGGGCAGCCATTTCAGCCTCCTGTTTGGCGTGCTGGCACCTGTTTCCCAGGCAGTTTAGCTGCGTCTCAAAAAGGACTGTGAGTAATGGCCGTCACTTGTCAGGGGCCCGAATGGGCTGCTCTGGCCTGGCCCACATGTCTCCCAGAACTATTTCAGGGGCCCAACAGGTGGGCCCTGGAGGAAGATGTTTACATTTTTTAAGGTACACTGGTATTTATATTGCAAACAACATTTTGTATTAAGGAAACGTTTTGTATAGTTCTATGTACAGTTTATTGATATTCAATAAAGCGGTTAATTTATATATAAAAGGGTCTCTCTGGGGTTATAGGGGAGTGAGTATTTTGGTGTTTTGTTTTTTGAGTTGGAGTCTCACTCTTTCGCCCAGGCTGGAGTGCAGTGGCATGCTCACGGCCACCACAGCCTTGGCTTGCTGGGCTCAAGTGATCCTTCTACCTCAGCCTTCCAAGTAGATGGAACCACAGATGTGTATCACTACACCCAGCTAGTTTTTTTTTTTTCAATTATTGTAGAGAAGAGGTCTTGCCATGTTGCCCAGTCTGGTCTCAAGCCCCTGAGCTCAGGCAGTCTTTTCACCGCAGCCTCACAAAGTGCTGGGATTACAGGCTTGAGCCACGATGTGGGACAAGGAGTATTTTGTAAGAACTTTAGTGAGGGAGGCGGGGACAGAATTCCTGGAGCTTGGATGTTTCTGACACAGTCTTCAGTCTTGTCCTTGGAAACATGACGTGGCTTTGCAGTCCTGGGTTTCCCTGTCAGAGCCTTCGTGGGACTGGATTTCCCCTGGGCCTGGGCGTCCTGTCAGGTTGGCTTGGAGACCCCTCTGGCCAGGCGACCCGTGGGGGGTGTGCCAACCCCCTTCTCTCATTCTTGCATTTGGAAGCTGACCGGGCCCAAAAGGCGCAGGGCTGGCTTCCTGGGTCTTATCAAGCCAACAGGTCACCACCTCCCCAGCACTGCAAGTCTCAGGGCGGGTCGGCCACTCCTCCCAGATGCGCGTGGAATGCAGCGAAGGAGAGAGAGGATGTGCTTCCTGTTCCCAAGGGCTCTGGCCCCTCTTGGGCCTCCCTCTCAGCCCCACACCTCCGTCTGGCCGCTGGGTACCAAATGGCCTTTGATGCGAGGAAATTGGCTGGCTGGAGCCAGGAGGGTGAGAAGCCAGGCCAAAGGGTAGGGGTCATGCAGCTTCCTGCTCCGAGGACGGTCCTCTTGGCCAGTGTGTGTCCGGGGCTGGGGCAATTCACTCCTGGCCGGCTGGCTGGCGGGCGGTGGTGACCTCACCCCTGGGAGCCTCCTAGGGCCAGGAGAAAATGAGTGTCCTTTTTGAGCACAAAAGGTGCTGAAGGTGCCAGTTTCCTGCGGGAGCAGGAGCGGGGCGGGCGGCCTCGGAGCCCCAGTGTCAGGCTGGGGGCGGGGAGCTCTGTGTTGAAGGAGAGATGATTCTTTCTTCTAAACAGGAAATGGTGACCCGCAGCCGGGAGCAACCCTTAATGACTTACAGCTTTCCTCCCAAAAGGAAAAAAAAACGTTCTCTCACAATCGCCAAATTGTGGCCTGCCTCCCTGAAGGGAAGTTAGGGGGCGGGGGTGGGGCCGGGCGCCATTAGCTGAAGGCCTGTTGGGTCCCTGGCCTCTCCGGGTCCCCTGGGTCAGCTGCATCTGCCCACAGTGGGTGCGGACACTAGTGAATGAATGACTTGGGGACTTCACACGATCCCCGAGGAGTGGGCCTTGGGAAACGGGGTTGCCCGAGGTCACCCAGCCCCGACCCTGGGTCTCTCTGGCTCTGACCGTCCAGGACAACATCTGGGCCTGGCTCGGGCCCCTGACTCTCAGGGCCGTTTCTGCCGCTATGAGGCGGGCGATGGCAGTGCCTTCCTCACCAGTCTGGGCTGAGGACTTCATTCATTCGGGGTGGCGATGGACGCTGCGTGCCAGGCCCTGTTTTAGGCCCTGGGGTTACAGCCGTGAACAAGACGGGCTGCCCGGTCCTCATGGGATGTATGTTCTGCTGGGGGAGACAGAAAACAAACAAGTGATTAAATAAACAAGCTGCTTGCCTACCGGGATGCTGCCAGGAGGGAGGAGAGCGCCAGGCACCAGGGAGCGAGGGTGGGGCTCCCCGCCAAGGCGCCCAGAGCGGACGTTCCAGCCGGGACCTGAAGGCGGAGAAACAGGCCGGGATCTGCGGGAAGGGGCCGCAAGGCTGGGGGCTGGAATGTGCCTGCCCAGCCAAGAAAGACCGGAGTGGCCCACGGAATGGACGGCCACCAGCGCGTGGTGCTGAGAGGGTAGGGATTCGGGGGCTTTGCAGGCTTTCCTTGGAGGGTGCCTGGGCACTGGGAGAATGGAGCTAAGGGGCTCAGAAGGGGGACACAGGCAAGGGGACAGTGAGAAGGCCAGAGGAGAGAGAGGGAAGAGGGCGGTGACCTGGCCCAGGGTGGTGGTGGCCTTGAGGATGAAGCCTGGATTTAAGAAAGCTGTGGCGGCCGGGCTCGGTGGCTCAGCCTGTAATCCCGCG